ACAAGTTGAAGGAAGGAAAAGCTGTACAACCTTACTGTTTGAAACATAGAAGTTGGACCAAATTGTCCAATCAATATCTTCCCTCCCCATGACACACTGCTGCCTGGGAGCTGAACTCTCTAATGAACAGTGAATTGAACAGTGTAAATAAGGCAGAGTAATGCTAAAAAACCCCAGCCTTTTGATTTGGAGGGGATTGAGACAGCTGATCTTATTTTCTGAGGGGAGCGAGTGTATGTAAATGAGTGCCCACATACAAGCAGCTCAAGCAGGGTTGGTCAAGCAAGACTTCTCACATGCAGCCAAGTGTTCAGACACCGGGGAGGTGCATTTTATTGCAAAGAAAACAAAATCGTCCTGCCCTTGGACAGGCCAGGCCTAAGTGCTTCTAAACTTTCTTCAGCAACAATCCCAAACACATACAAAGGGTGACTTCCTGCAGCGTAGTCCAGCAGAAGCAAGAACGCTCACCTCTATCTAAGATAACAGCTACTACCCTGGTTTTCAGCGGTCACAAGGGCACACAGATCCCAGCTGGGTTCGAAGGGAGCAGAGTGTGTTCCTTGGCTTTGAAAATCAGGCCATGTGACTCCCTGACCCGATGCAAAGCAAAATTACTTGTTGCTGTATTGCTGGAAAATGTGAATGTGCAGTAGGCCAGCAGCCTGCCTCTTAGCTACTCAGAACTGGATTTGACCACTGAATGTATAAACTGTAGCTCCTACAGGTTGGTTAGCCATTCTCTCTTCTCCTCAGACAGCTAGTTCAATAAAGCACCATCCTTCTGCCCCACCCTCCCTGCAAAACAAGATCTCTAGTTTAAGAGTCTCCTTCATTTCCATACACATGCATCTCAATAACTGGTGTGTTTTCAGGAGACTGGATTGTGATCCTTGGTGTGTCTACACAGGATGCTAACTGCGCAGTAACCTAATTCTACTTTACAGTAGCATGCAGGGCAAAACCTGTGATGGTACAGGACTGTGTGGTAGTATTAGGCTACTGCACAGTTAGCATCACTAAAAATCCATGCACCGGCACTACTGCGCAGTAACACTAGTTACTGTGCCCTGATTTAGTACTTGGTTATGCAAGTACTAAACTTAATGTGCAGTAACTATGGCGCATTAATGAACATGTAGATGCACCCACTAACTGCTGCCTTCAGACCCCAGCTAAGAACTCTGCATGGGCGTTTCCAAACAACCACCAACTCCTTGTTGGTTTGCAGAGGTAAGACAAGGACGGGCTTACATAGCACTTGCCTTTTCCTCCTCTCATGTTATTCCCTCCACCCAGAAGCATTTTTGAGAGCGACACTACATGAACATGATTCACATGGTTGTCAGCTGATTAAGCTAGTAAGGTCCCAGGAAAAATGAACTTCTATCATGAAGAGGAAAAAAACAGCCTTAGTATTCATTTAATCTATAACTACCAGCAGCCACCAGGTGGGAGTGTAAGCTAAAACATGGCAGATGGGACTGTGATGGGAAATACAGTACAACTTCATTATAAAAAGCCCCTGTGGGATTGGGAGAAACATTTGTTAAAAGAGGGTGTTTGCTACAATAGGGTTAGTCAATTTGCTGCATCATCATAATGAAAAAAAACGGTTTTCTGCTTTTGGGAGTGTTAAAGCTGGGGATTGCTATACACAGAGGTTATTATAGTCTCATACTGCAGTTATTCAGCTGTCAGCTTGACCTTATTGCCTGCGTGGTGCTTTGAAGAGGACCCTATTCCCAGCCCAATATTGAAGCTTTATGTTAAAATGCTTATTTGCTGGCTTAGTGTCCTTCATGCCATCTCCATCCCTCTGTCAGCTGCTCTTTCTAACATTGACCATCCCAATTCCAAACACCTTTAAGAGAAAACTTACCATTGTGAACAAAAAAACTAAAGTAGCTTTTCTTCCTTCTTTTCCAAAGTTGGAAATGCAAAGACAGGCCACAGGGGCCTTCAAGGAAAGCCCCCATTTATGCCTGCCCCCCTGCAGGTGGCTGCAATAAGTGCTCCCTGCCTGTGAAAGACCAGCAGAACCAGGAAGGACTATGCACAGTGCAACGGACTTAAAGATTCATGGTCCCAAAACAAGCCAAGTGCACAAAATTAAACCGGGGGGGGGCAATTTTAAATTTCTATTTATAAATAAAAGCTATTAACCACAAGGTATCTGGAGCCAAGATAGGCCAAGCCTGTCTTCTCAGAGATCGTGATCTGAGGCACGTTCTCTGGCCTCTGTGACAGATGGAGGGCTAGAAACTCCTTCTCAGCACCCCTAACACTGCAAGGAACTGGAGTCGTCAACCGGCAGAGCTCGATAGCTGACAGCTTTCAGAGATGGAGTTGCTGGTGAATAAGCCTTGATGACAACCCTTTAAAGTTTGTTGAGGTGACACACAATCACCAGACGCCACCATACATCACAATTGGGCTCAAATATGAACTTATTACTCCTTAAAATAAGGCTTCTAAGCACTCCTTGCCACTGAAGAAACAAGGGAGGGAAACCAGCAAGACAAAACAAAGTGCTGCGTGAGTGTCCTAATCTGCGTTTGATGACATACAGGTTTGTCTCTACAGTGGCCATGGTGTATTAAAGACCAATTTACTGAGGATTATCAGACTTTGAACACTGATATTGTGACAGTGCCCACCGGTCACAGCCAGGCTGAGCCCACGATGCTGGATGCTACGGTGGCACATATTTTAACTGACTGCTTTAGTGTGAACATTTACATTTCATAGAGCACCTCTTCTTTCTGAAGGACATCACAGTGCTTTAAACATGGTGACTGAGTGCGTGTGCAGACAGATGGAAGTCAGTGGGCGTTCTGTCACTACAGGACCCATACGTGTATATGGAGAGAGTCACTCATACCACCCGTCATCAAAAAGCAGTCATCTCAGGGGCAGAATAGAACAGCCCTTTGGTCCTACTCAGCAACTGCACCCAAGAGAGTGGGAAACGCAGCAAGAACACCATCTCCAACTAAAACTGCAGAGGGAATTTAGGAGGTGATCACTCTCAGTGAAATTTGGCTAGACATCCAGAGCTATTATCCTTACAACGTAGCTGCATTATAGTTTTCTTGATTCCACAGCACGCGCTGGTCGTTGGCTGTGTTATTCAAACGAAGAGATTCAGGAATTGGTTTGTGTGAAAAATGCTATGCAAAATAAAGTGAGTAACAAGCTCCTTTGTGACTTTAGGCACTCACATACTAGGGATAAAGCATGCTAAAAGATATACACACATAAAGGGAGAGATTTTAAGTGACAGGCTCGGCATTAGGCCCCATTCCAATATACTGCCCGTACAATGATTCCCTTAACGACCAAACATTAACCATATCTCACCAGTAGGTGAGCAGACAACCACTCATAGGTTTGAAAACAGATGAGGAGAGGAATTTGTTTTCGAGTGACATACCCCCCATGCACAGAACAGTGAGGAGAAAAAGAGGGACAAAACACAGTGGAGTTTCAGATGTGGGGGCAGTAGCTCTCCTACGGTGATTTTGGCAGGCCTGGGAGCACAACTATGCATATTCAAGTGCATTTTTCATATTCATATGTCATATGCATATTCAGGACCCTCTAGGTCAGAGCCGCAGGGAGTCAGAAACATTTGCTCCAGGCTCACCCATGAAGCGTTCATCCCAGAGGCCCAAGTCTCATTCTGATCTCACATTCATTGATTTTTATACTAGTCTAAATGCAGCAATTTCAATGGAGTTGCTCCTAATTTACTCCACTGCGAGTGAAATCAGACTCTCTGCCATAGGAAGAGATCTGGCAAAGACAGAAGAGGAACTGGGAGGCTCAGTCTCTGGATATTACTAGTACCAGTGAAGGTGTCTCAGCTGCTTTGCATGTTGATCTCACAAGCTTGACCACAGCTGAAGGCCACAGCTAGACTTTCCCTCATTCTTGCCCCCAGAAAATGGGATAAGAATTAAAAAAGAGAATCTGAGATTTAGATCGTGCCAGTGAAATGTCCTCTGTCCCTCAGGCTGCCATGACTAGAGCCTTGTAGTGGCTGGTCAGAACCGTTTTCAGGTCCCTCCTCACACTGACATCCCAGCAGATGCTTTTCGATACAGCATTGAATTATCTGCAGTCGGCCCAACAAACCAGGCTAAAGTGCTCAAACTTTGCAGGATTAACAAGGAGCCTATGGAAATGGGAAAGGGGTTAGGGCTGGGAGGTAAAGAAGAGAGAGAAAGAGATCACAGGGGGGCATCTGGCTAGAATTGGGCTCCAGCACTAGAGGACATATATGTAGAATGCAAACTCTGCCTGGAACATCAGCTAAATCTTAGCTTTCCCGAGTCCTAAAATGAGATGCACATTCTCCTGCCACAGTGCCTGCTGGGTCAGATTCTGTCAGCCCCACCAATACAAATCCAGGTGCCAGAGAGGTCTGGCCTGCTCTTTCCTGCTGGATTATACTTCCCAGAAGCAGGCACTTGGAGGCAATCTTAACCTGGTTGTTTTGCTTCCCAAACCCGGCCACTCTCAGCCACTACCAGAGAGCTACAGGAAGTGCATTTAAAAAAGATGAAAGCAGTGGCGCTACTGATAGCAACACACATATACACACAAACCCCACCCGCCCCCCTCCTCTGACAGCAACCCTCCTCATGCCAGGACTTGGATGTGGTCTCAGGACCCCAAGAAGATGCGCCCATACAATTGACCTGTCCCAGCCTGATAAAAAGTTCCTGAGAAGCCAGTCTGACCACATGGCCCTGAAGTCAAGCCAGGATACAGATCTTTGTTGGATGTTTCTCTTCTTTAAAGGTGCGTGTCTTCCTCAAACACATCTGTGTCCTCGCTTGCCTGCTTGCCGATCAGGACGTCCCAGCTGTCGGGGCCATTGATGGCACTCCCGCCATTCAAACTTGGCTTTTTCTCCTGCATCTCTGACTGGCTGTCGCTGGCTACATCTAATGTGGGGTTGTCATGGCAGCCATTCTCAACAAAGCGCAGCTCCTCGCCATGTGACTGGAAGGGAAGGAAGAGAAGGCCCAATGGGACACAAATTGAAAGAAAAATATGCTTTTCAAAAATGCAGAAGAATCATAGAATCATAGAAAATGAGGGTTGGAAGGGACCCCAGGAGGTCACATCTAGTCCAACCTCTTGCTCAAAGCAGGAACATCCCCAACTAGATCAGCCCAGCCAAGGTTTTGTCTATCTGGGTCTTAAAAACCTCCAAGGATGGAAATTCCACAATCTCTCCAGGTAACCCACTCCTGTGCTTTATTAGGTTAGAATCCAAATCCCATTCCTGTTCTAGCTGATGAGAATTTTTGCCTGTTTACTGGGAAAGGATTGATTAAAGTTTGTTCCCAGCTTTGTGGGGAAAGACTACTAGCCCCTGGCTCTTGGGCTGGTACATGGACCTATACTGAAACCAGAAGACAACACTTAACCTATATGAAATGCAGGCAACTGAAGCCATAACTTGAATAGAAAGCAACAGCTTGTGGTGGAGAGTATCCCTCCCAGGATGCTATGCCTCCCACTTTGGCTGCTTGGATCCCAACAGAGCATGGGGAATCTTGGCATCTTCATGTTGGGCTTGGCAGGTAGCCAAAGTGGCCATATTCAAAATGGCAGCAGCCACACTGAAGACCTCCAAGAGATGCATCTAGCCCACCACCACTGATAACGGGGTATGTCCAATAATGAAGCCCTGTTAGGCTCCAACCTCTTTCTTTGGGCACGTCCACTGGCTCATAGGTGATCTCACTTCCATGCTTCTACCAAACCCCTATGGTGGACTAGGAAAAGGCACGACTTGTCCACTTCCTCCACCCAATACCCTCCATCTCAAAAGAAAATGTGTCTTTAACCCTTTCCTCATGTGCTCACCATGTTCTTCATCTTGGGCAGGCGCCTCTGCCAGCAGTTGTAGATGAGCCCAAGGATGATGATGATCGCGCAGATGGAGCCAATGATGACCAGCACCACAAACAATTTCCCATAGTCACTGCGGGGCTGGCTGGGGCGTGACTGGCAGCTTGTGGTGGTCGTGTAGTTCTGGATCCCAATCTGAGAGTAACCAAGAAGAAAGGCATGATAGACTGCTTGAGGGTAAAGGAAGTCCTAGTCACTGCTCATTGTACAGGCTCTTCCAACACAAGCTCACAGCCACTAACAGGCACGAAAGCTATACCAGGGAAGTGGGACTGAACCTGATAACAAGTGTGTCACACAGTTGGGAGGCAGAAAGCACGACTCAATCTAATAGGTTCTATAGATCTTTGGCAAAATCCTGACCTCTTTCTGCTATGGACTGAGAGTGGGTAGAGGTCCTCTTGGATTGCCAGCAAACAAGGAGTCACCTCGCTGCTCAGGGCTCATGCAGGTATGTGAGGTGGGGTAGCAAGTCAATGGTTTGGAGCCCAGGACATGCTCTAGAAATGGCTACCTGATGGGTAGAGAAAGGCCTGAGGGAAGTCAGGCAGGCAGCACAGCAACAAAGCATAGGAGTTAGGAACTGTATGTTTAAGTAATAATGTGCAGCCTCTTTTACTCTAGCCTAGAGTCACAAAGGGACAGGAGCAAAGACTGGGGTACAAGTGTTTCCTGAAGAAACCCTGGTATCCTGTTCCTACCTGATCTGACCTACTTTTGCCAGCTTACATTTGGGCTCTGGATATTCCAGAGGCCAACACGACACACAGAGCATTCATAAGAAATGATCCATGGTACAAAGCTCTAATTCAATCCATAACTTGACTAGCTGGCAAGTAAGTCCCCACTTTTTACAGGGAGAACCCAGGGATAGAAAGGGCAACAGTTCTGGCCATAGTTACCCGGTGAGTCAGGGTCAGTGAAGCTAAGAATGGAGGGTTTTCCAGTCCCCTGTCTTCTCCCCTGGACTATGAGAAGGACTGCCAAAATTTAAACAAAACCCTTGCTTGCTAGAAACTGGACATCAGCAAACACCACTGAACATTGCTGACTGCTCACAGTGACTGGACAGATTTCAGAAAGGCTATGTATCAACTGAGTAGTAAGTATGAAGCGTGTAAGAGAATATCCTCCCTCTTCCTTCAAAGCTTATGATAGCACAAGGTCAATGTGATGAACAGTCTCTTTCATTATTGATAGGGCTGGAGCGTGAAATCCAAGTGGTGTGGCCGCTGGGGTAGAATAGGCCTCATTGTGAGATCCTTGCAGGTAGCTTTAGCTTTCTATAACTAACAATGGTCAAACTGTGAGCCAACATGAATGCTTCTCTTGGGTTTTCCATGGAAAGGGCGGTTCAGGTTGCTGGCACTTCAGCTGCACGATTTCAGCAATGCCCCTAGACAGGCTCTTAGCACTTTCACTGGTGTAAGCCAATCAATACCTCACTGAACGCTTAATTTGCTTTGTCTGGCTACACCAATTTGTTAGGTCAGAGGCATGCATCTGCCAGCACACTCTGGGCCCAATCCGGTGGTCACTTACACTGGCATAAAATAGACGTAACTCCACTAAAGCCACCAGAGTTACACCCACTTAAGGGAGAACAGAATTGGGCCCCTTCTGCCTTCCAGTCCAATGGGGCAAGGGAATGGTCTATCCTGTGCTCTTCTCTTCCCTGCTTCAACCTTCATCCAAACTACCTAGGGTCTCTGGGGAATGAGAGTTTGACGAGTACGCGAGGTTGGCAACGGCATTCTAATACTGCCATCGAGTCAGCAGAACAGTGCCTACCAGCCCAGGGAATCTGACAACAGGAAAAAAAGAAAAACCACACATATGCTGACAGCTGCACACACACACATGCACGCATGTATGCATGTGCACGTACGCGCACACACACACATTTTCCCTATATAATGAAAGCAATCAGAATCTAGCTCTGAAGGACATCCCACCCAATGCAGTCACCTCACCCAAGCTGTTCAGCAGAGGCTGTGACAACTGGCAACAGGACAAGGAGAGCCCTAGGCTGGAGGCGCACTGAGTTAGGCTGACCTTGCCAGAAAGATCCCACAGGTATAATTTACAGAGACCCACACTGGCATGCTGGGAAGGAATTCATCCCTGTGGGATCCCCAAGATGTAAAAAGCAACTTTAAATAGTGCTTCCAAAAGGAGTGGATGACCCCTAAATCAGCCACTCTTAATGGGAACTGGCATTTGATGACTCTGCTGTTCCCAGGGCAGGAGGAGGGTGTTCCACCAAATTGCCAAGTCATCAGATGGTTTGTGCTGGGTTCCTAGTTAAGAGAGAAGCATGGTCCCAGTTTTCTCAGGGTCTGTTTTAATCGCTTCTCCGGCTTTTCCAAATGTAGCCAGATGAGGTCTTACCTCAGCTAAGCTCCTCTTCACATCTCCCAGGGCTGTGAGAACATCTTTTGTAGGAATGACACCTGGTGGGAAAAGAACTGGACATGAGGGAACGAAGAGGTCAGCAGCACTGCCTGTTCTGCTCTAGCTCACTTGTTCAGACAGGGCACATGGGTGTCACATAGGAATGACAAGGTGGGATATGAGAAGGAAAGGGGTATTTTATAAGGCAAAACCTAAGAGTGAATCTAGCTGAAAATGGGGGCTAGCTAGAACCCAGGAATCATGGTGACAACTGCTGTGCTACCAGCTCTGACCACTCATTTCAGCCCAGAGCTGCAGCACTCCCAGCTGTCCCAGAGTCCTTACAGAGCTTTGCTGACACAGTGCTGTCCTGACCTGCAGCATCCTTAAGCACATGTGTTGTGCTGTGTAGAATCCTCTTGCAAAACAGCCTGCCAGGCATGATGCATACTGCAATGCCTTTTCTGTGCTAGGGAGAGACACTCACCAGCACTGAGCAGCTCCCTTCTCTTTATTTCCTCATGTGGATGCTCTCAAGTCAGGAGAAAGCATGGCTGGGCAGGTAGAAGTCAAGGGGCCCTGTTCCCCGACCATAACTAGCCCAGAAGCAAAGAAGGACCCTAAGGAGAACTGCATTTTTCAGAGTATAACACACTCCAGCCCTGGAAGTTTCCTGACTAGGCACTGAACTCTAGCTCAAGAGCTGCCCAGCCTGGCTGAGCTGCAGAGCTCAGCTTCTCATCTCCAAAAGGCTCCCTCCAACAGAGAAAAAGTTTGCATTATGATTTTATGTGCTTACCAAACCCTGTTCATTCATAGAGGGCATGATCCAAGGTGTTAGGAGACATGCGCTGATTTAAACCACCAACACTGAAAATACTATTCATCACCACTCCCCAGGGATGGGGGTGTACTTTGTAATGTTTGTGGGGTACAGTGCAAGTCAGGAATAGCAAGAAAGTAGGGCCTTTATGCCCCAAACAAGCAGCTCCCAGTGGATCAGAGCACACACTGAGCAAGCCAACCCAGTCTGGTGTTCAGTGTGTGCACCATGGCTCCGGTGACTCCAGCAGCAGGGGATACAGCACTAAGCAGACAGCAGAAGGAGGGAAAAAGCAGGAGGGGGATGCCTGTCAAGTGTGTAGAAGTCTATCAAGGGAGTGTGTAAAGCAGAAGGCATGGAGGAGGGAAGGGAGGAAAGAAGAGGAGAGCAGGGCTAGAGAGAGAGAGAAACTGTGAAGGGCAGGAGGAGAAGCTGGGATTTCCCGTGACTGTCAAACCAGCTGCAAGGAAGCCCAGAGGAGTGGCATGGGGTGAGAAGGAGGCATACACAAACACACTAGGGATAGCTAATGTGGAGACCACTGTACTGTACCCTAGGAGGGACTGTTGTGCCATTGGAAGTGGGAGAAAGATTGAGACCAAACAGAGCAGGGAAAGCTCCCTTCCAGCATTACTAAGGTTCTCCGTTGAAAAACATGCTCTCCCCCCAACCTCCCCCAACTCTTCTTACTCAGCACTTACCCTGCTCCCCTGCCAAGGTCATTAGCAGGTGCTTGTCATTCTCATTGGGTTTGCTCAAAGAGATCAGCCATTGGCCCTGCAGTCCATCTGTCTGCCTGGAGAAGGCATCTTCAACCAGAGCCAGCAGCTGTGGGCCCCTCTCCAGCCGGAACTCCTCCTGCAGAGACAGACACGAGAGCTGCTTCTCCCAGAAAAAGAGGAGCCAAGGGTACTGGACATACTAGATCCATAGAAGCAAATGCAGGATAGAGCAGACGGTCTAGGAGTGAGTGAGCAGGGCAGCAGCCCTGGATGCTGACTTAGGGGGACACTAAGCTGGTAGCTACCACCCTTGCCAGCCCAGCCACTACCTGGAGCACAAACCTTCCCAGATACATCTCTGGGGACTGAATGGGACCTTTGATGGGATGATTTGGGGCAACTACTGGGGAAAGGACCCTAGGGGCTCACATGCTGATTTAACTCTGTCAATGCAGTGAATCTGACACTCCCCAAAGCACGTACCTTGTGCTCTGTGTGTGTGTGTGTGTGGCAGGGGGTCCAACATGACTTTTACAGCCTCAGCCCCACAGAGGCCCCTTTATGGCCTCATCCACCCAATCCTCACGCTGTGTTTTCCTTTGCAGCACCCTTCACCTGCAGCTGGGAAGCACCCCCTCCCTGCCGTGGGGTTGGGACCCTGGAATTACTTCCCTGGGCACAACTGTTTTCTCAGCTTGCAGTAAAAAAATAACTTCAGGACCAGCAGGAAGGTGCTTAAATTGAAGGAAAGACTTTGCCTCTCCCAGCGCCCAGGGCTGGTTGGGGACCCGGCTTAGCCTCCTTTGGAGGCTCCTTTTCCACTTTCCCACTCTTGTGTTTCTATTCCTGTCTGTGGTTGCCATGCCAACCCAAAGGCCACATGGATGATTAATAAATGCTAGCACTCCTGGTTGCCATGGCAATCCCAAGCGCTCAGGGCAGGCATAGGTCTGAGCAGTGAATGGTCTAATTGGAAAAGACACAAATGACTCGGGCCTGAATCACAAAGGTCTGTCAGTGCCTTGTCGCATCAGGTTATGGATTCTGGCTGAGGGAACGCATGCAGCAAGGCAGGCAGTCGGGAGAGGCACGGGAAGAAGGTCCTTGTGGAGGCAGCTCCTCTGCTTTCTTTCTGGGGTCTCCCACCCACAGTCTGGACCAGGCCGGCAACATACTATGGCCAAGCAGCCAGTTCTCTGCATTGCAATGTAATGGACCAAACATAGCTCTTGTTACACAGCTCAGCAGGGATTTAAGAAGCTGAGGCTGAAAGGCAGGCATCATAATGAGCCTGTGGAAAGACGCTGGGCTGCAGCTCTGCAGAAGAGGACCTGGGAGTTACCATGGACAATAAGCTCAATATGAGCCAGCAGTGTCCCTTGTTGCCAAGAAGGCTAACAGCATCCTGGGCTGCATTGGTAGGGGTATTGCCAGCAGGTCAAGAGAAGCGATTATTCCCCTCTATTCAGTACCGACAAGGCCACATCTGGAGTGCTGTGTCCAGTTTTGAGCCCCCACTACTGAAAGGATGTGGACAAATTGGAGAGAATCCAGTGGAGGGTAACAAAAATGGTGAGGGTCCTGAGGGACATGACTTATGAGGAAAGACTAGGGGAATTGGGCTTATTTAGTCTAGAGAAGGGGAGACCGAGAGGGGACTTAATAGCAGCCTTCAACTACCTGAAGGGGGGCAGGGTTCAAAAGAGGATAGAGCTGGACTGTTCTCAGTGGTGGCAGATGACAGAACAAGGAGCAATGGACTCAAGTTGCAGCAAGGGAAGTTTAGGTTAGATATTAGGAAGAATTTTCTCACTAGGAGGGTAGTAAAACAGTGGAACAGGTTACCCAGAGAGGCTGTGAAAGCTCCATCTTTGGAGGTTTTCAAAACCCAGCTAGACAAAGTTTGGCTGGGATGATCTAGTTATGGATGGTCTTGTTCTGAGCAGGGGGTTGGATTAGATGCAACCTCCCGAGGTCCCTTTCAACCCTGACTTTCTATGATTCTAAGAAAGATGGAGGTGGAATAGTTCTATTAATGGAGGCAGCTTAAATATATGGCATTGGTGCCCTTCCTCCTTGGCTGGAAAGACTGTGGCCACAACACTGCTGTAACATGGGGCAAGGACAGGTCTCGGTGCTGGAGTGGACTCAGGTTCAAAGACTGGTGAATGAAGGCAGAGCAACGATTGAGCATGTTCTCTGGTAGGGCCAAATCCTGCAGACTTTACTCGGACAGATGTCCCATAGGAGCCAATGAGAATTTTGCCAAAAGCGAGGCTGTTGTGTTGGCTCAGTTTACAGCCCAGCAGGAAATTAAAATAGACTGCCTACTTAGGCTTATCATATAGAGCTTGGTCAATGTGGGTGCTAGAGGCAAAGAGTCCACAGCCCAAGCCTTCAAGATGCTGAGGTCCTTCATTTCCCACTGACCTCTGAGGAACTTTGGGCCACTCATCACCTCACAAGATCCAGACTTTAAAATGATTAGAGATATTTGCAAGTGTTTTATCCCCAGTAAATTATTTTAAATAATCTCCCTCCCACTCCCATTCCCAACACTTAAAATATAAGCATTCCCTTGCGGCACTGGAAAGCTAAACAGCATAACCCTAGAGTATGGAAGTCAGAAAGCAAAACTGAAAGAGTTGGGGGAAGGCAGCCTGTCTAATTCCACTGTCTAGATTGCCTGCATTTCAACAGACAGCAGGCAAACTGCTTCAACTGCAGCGTGGAGGTAGGATGGGGGAGAAGGGTCTGATTTCAGTTTCAATCATATTAAGCGATAACAGAACGCAGGGGAGGGAAGCCATGCTTGTGTTAAATATTTATGTTGACATGTGTCTCCTTGAATAAGAAAGGGAACAGCGTAAATCACTTGTTGGGAAATATTTGCTTTGAAACATGAAATCAAGTAGAAAAACAGTTTGAGTCTTGTCTTCCCCAGGGCAGCTTCTGTGTTTGGGAGGGGAGTAGCCAAGGACTTGACAGCAAGGCACAGCTTCAATGAAGGGGGCTTGCAGTTTTTGATTTTCACTTCTCAGCTCCATTCCAGTAGTTAAAATAAAGCGTTTGCAAAAATCCAAGGGAGGAGAGTTACCATATACTGTTCAATTAACAAGCATCTGTGTTTTGCACTGATACCTGAGGAAATCTGATGGTGGCCATGGTGGATGGGAAATCATCACACATCAAACTGTAAATGTGTGTTCCAAAAAAGGCACTTAAAATGCTATGATAGAAGCACAGATCTCTGTTAGCTAAGTCAGGAGGCTTAAAAGAAATGAGAGGCCCTCTATCCCTTTAGGAAATCAACACCAGTCACTCGATATAGTTATTGTTTCCAACGAGCCCCTGAGGGCTCTGATTCTCTTTCTAAGAAGACACCAATATACATAGGCCAGTGCTCAAGAGCAACCCTGTGACAACAAAAGCAAGCTTCTTAGTCTAGCATGGGGACCCTAAAATTGCAAAACAGAAAGAGCAAGCCATTTAAACTTCCAAAACAATAAGATATTAAAAAATATTTAGAAAATGATGACACCTGGAGACTTGGTCCTGCTTACAGTAAGCTGCTAAAGGCATGAATAAAACGTCCATAAGAGCTCTGTAAAGTCACTGGGATCTATTAATAGGGATATACACGGAGTGTTGGGCTCATCAATTAACTGCAACTTTATGGGACTGATGCGCAAGTATTGGATTAGCAGACCGTGTCTGGTTAACTGCAGAACCTGATAACAAATACGATAACTGAGTGGGAAGGAAAGGCACTTAAGGAAGATTTAAGGGGCAGCTGGTTGGCACTTTGAACCATTCACTCTGGAAACAGGTCTTTATTTCTCTGAACTCTCAGAAAGATGTGGGCGTAGATAATCATACCTCAAAGCAGGAGGAGAGGAAAACAAAACAGGCCTTGAAATCAAACTCTTATCCTGCTATAATCCCATGTTAGCAGGGAAAGGACAGTTTGGACATGCTGTTCTCTCGATCAGGTTGGAAATAAAGGTCTCTTCTCCTCGCCAGTGGCCATCCAGGTAAAAATTCCAAGCCTGGTGTTACCTGTCCACAGGTGAAACTGATTCCGATCTCCCAGGCTGGACTGGAGTTATTGTGAAACTAAGAATAGTTGCAATGTTTGCCTTCACAGTTACTGTGCTGTCAGCAAAAACACAGGGCCTGGCACAGCTTGGGATGCTGAAAGTATAGAATATGAGCACGAGTGAAGTATAACTACCAATTTGAGCACTGGTCTGGTAGCCAGGAACTTTTTGGTCTCCATCCAGTGATGACACAGCCTCATTCTAAGCTATGGGCAAAACACATTCTCTACCAATAACTTCCCCCCTCTGTAAAATAGGAATAATTTTAGCCTGCCTCTCATGGGGGATGTGAGGATAAGTATTTGTAAAATGTTTTGAAGATGAAAAAGTTCTGACACCAAGCTTTATCTTTCCAGCTGGATGGTCCTATAGCTAAAAGCACAAGTGTAGGAGTCCAGGGATCTAAGTCCTAGTCCTAGTTTTGCCACTGACTGGCTGTCAGACCATCGGCCTGCCAGTTCTCCTGCCTGACCTTCAGTTTCTTCAGCTGTAAAGCCCAGCCGACATTTATTAACATCAGGAAGCTGAGGAGAGGCTTGACACAAAGAAAGAATGAACGGGATGTTCATTTTCATAAATGTTACACCAACTAGCACTGCAGTGAACATCCACAAATCATGACAACTGCAGTGTGGCAGTGCTGGAGTGATGCTGTAGCCATGAATTCCATGTTCTAGGATATATGAGGGAATATGTGAGAGACAAGGATTTTTGTAGGTGACGTCTTGTACTGGACCAACTGCATGACGGGGATAGATTTAGGTAAGCCTGACTCAGCCCTGAAGAAGAATGCGCTGTATTTGAAAGCTTGTCTAAATCCATCCCAACCATGCAGATGATCCAAAAGATAATCACATGTGAAATCCTTGATTCTCATGAAACAAATGAAAGTTAGCCAAAAGCCGGATATCTAATTTCCCCAATGGTTATGCACAAACCATTTTAAAAGGACGGTATTGCTCTTCTGTTCAGCCAGTAATAAGAGAAACTAACTAAAAAGGCCTTTATAAATACTATGAACTGGATAAAATGCATTTATTCATTTCTGCAATACCTAGTGTTTATTGCCTGGGGTCTATCTACTGGGAAATGGAATTAAAAATGATTTTGACTGTGTCTCTTGAATTTCTGAGAAGTACTTTGAGACACTTCTATGTAAATTGTGATAGGTCTTTCCTAGGTACAATTACCTGAAAAGGGTGGTCTCAAAATTGAAACCCCTGTGCTCCTTACATCAGTTTCAGGCTGAGGTACAAGGACAAGAGAAGCATTTCTGGTTTTGTGCCTTGTCGGTATATGTGAGGGTTTGAAGTGGCAATGCTGGGCACTCTTTGGGTAAATGCCTACCTGTGTACACATGAGATTGGTCCAGAGGCCTTTACAGTCTTCTTTGCCTACGAAACACTTGTAAAGGGCACCCAGAAAAAATTAGCAAGCATCCTTTTAGAAGCTCATTTGAAGATCTGTGACAAATACTTTCTGGGTTGAAAAATTCAGTTTCTACGTCCTACCTCTACTATCTTACCTGTTAAACACCAGAAAGGGATGAGAGATGCACACCATATACAAAAACTGCAGTTTCACAACCACAGCCATCACTGCACTATCTATTTGTGCCAGCCCTGGAAAACATCCTACCCCTCCTGGAATCCGTCACTCTAACAGACCTTTTGCTGGCCTCTGCAATAGTGACAGCTCAGCATTAGTATCTGACACTGTAAGTCCCCTTTCCTTTCATTCTAGTCTGGTTGCTTGTGTCTGACTTACACAGTCGATGTTATCTGACATGTTCAGGATGATGTAGTTTTTCCCTGCCAGGTTACTCCAGTCCTTGCAGATCACCTAGAAAGACAAAGCACATATACAGCTGGGTCTGGAAAGAGAATGCATCTCCCTGCTGCAAGCACAAAAGCAGATTAAGGGGAGGGAGAGAGGGGCTGTGCTCTATGCCAGGCAGGTGTCTGAATCCTTGGAGAAACATATATGTGTTCCCGTATCCTGTTTCTGGAGGGGATTCACTGCCTCTCACCAGACTGGAATAGACACACACAGAAAAGGCATTTCCTTTTTATCTGAGTGGTAGTAGACTGCAGTACTCTGTGAATCCACAGAGCAGGGACAGGGCACTGCCATGTCAATGTGCCCCAGTCCTGCCAGACTGGAGCTCTCTCATGAAGCAGTCGCTCCTCTGTGGCTTTACTGAGGCTGACAACAGGCACAGGGTAGAGCAATTAGAGCTAATTGCAAGTGATGGGAGATGGACACCTATCTCCTTTATTATCCTGTGAACGGAGCTAAACACTAACATGACTTAACCACTTATCCCTTTTTTGGTAACTAGACTCATTCTGTGGGTGGCCTGCACATTATCACACTAGAAACCCTACCCAGCAGCCTCACGGTCTTTACGTAGCTGCTCAAATCCAGGTCTTCCACAGCTCATGCTAGAGCTCTAACCACCGGACCATCCTCCCTCAGCCATAGGCATGTCTATGTACAGCCCCCGGCCCCTCCCACCCCCCTAACAGCCCTTCTGAGAAGCCTCCGCAGAAATCTGCACGCTCAGCCCTTTCACAAGCCTTGCACCTGGCCAGGCAAATGGAGGCGGCAAAGATTAACTCCTTCCTCCCCATCCACTTCAGAGGTGCTTGGACCACTCGCATGCCCAGCAAAACAGCCTGAAAGGTAAAAATGGGCTCACAAGGAGCTTTTGTTGCCCAAAGGCCAGGATAAGCATAGGCAGTCCTCAGAAATAGAAAAACTCTGTGCAAGGGTTTCTTGGTGACCCCTCAGCATCTGAGGTCTGGTCTACATTATGTAGTCTTGCCAAATGAACACTCAAAGCTGCTCCTTTTGCCAGCATGGTAACCACACTTCATGGAGAGAAAGGCAGCTGCTGCTGCCACACATAACCAACATGGCAGCTGGCACATGTGGACATGCATGTCCCTTCTGCCACAGTCTCTTCAGAAGCTGGTGATTTCTGAGGGTGCACTTCATGCCCTGCCAGCACAGCTGCTTAGTAGAGTCGAGAGGTGTGAACAAGCTACGGTCTACCAACAGGCTACTGCTGGCAGGTCAGCCTAGTACGCACAAGGCCTGAGAGGGTTCTGGCACTCAGAGGTGTAGTGTAACACCACCTGCAAGAGCACTGGGTTTACAGGGACTATGTATGTGTAGATGCAAACAAATTCAGCTGCCAAAGCTTGAGTTCTGCCAGCACAACACTGCAGTGCATTACAGCGAGGAGGCATCCCCCCGGATATGGCACAAAGGAAGGAAAATGTCCCTTGCAACATTTTTGGAGGGTTGCTTGAGGAAGGGGTGGGGAAGGAGAAATCCCCAGCAACTATTTCCATCAGCTGCATTTTGGGACAGCTGAAAGCAAGGACCGGCAAGGATGATAGGTTAGTAACTAGGCACCTGCATGTGGAGCCCTCCCTCCACCCCACAGCATGGTACCTGAGGGGAATTCCAGGGCATCTCTGTTGGCATCACAGCTGCAGGACTGTCCTCAGTCTGTAGTGCAAAGCTGTCCTCCATCACCAGTGTAGTCACCAGCTTGGTGCTGTTGGGAGCAGGGGTTGGGGCCGGGCTGTCAGCACTATCCCAGGGAGCTGAGGAGGGGCCGAGGTTCCAGGAGCCAGGACTCTCAGACACAGCCTTGGTACTTGGGGGACCACCTCCAGGAGACGCTGTTATCTCAGGAGCCTCCTCGGTTTGCTCCATTCCAGTCAGCATGGTGGGCTGGGTAAGCTCCCCCCCAGCCTCCGCTGTGGGATTTCCCAGCTCTGCTGTCGCTGTGCTCTCTGTGAGCTCCACTCCTGCGCCCATCACCCCTGTATTTCTGGAAGTCATCTCAAAAGGGTCTTCTGAGATTGCCTGGGATCCTGCAGTGGTGGTAGACAAGAGGGAGGACGCAGGCAGCAGACTTGGGCCCATGCTGCTCCCTAGGTCAAAGCCTGAAGAGGTGTGCTCAGGAGCAGAGTCCTCCTCCGCTCTTTCTACTGTTCCCTTTGTCACAACCCCCAGCCTGCTGGAGGCTGTGGAAAGTAGGAGGGACAACAAGGAGTCCTCCTGGCCAGCTACTTCTGAAGACATGACCTTTGGCCAGTCGGTCTTGCTACTCTCTGGCCCTCCCCTTGAGTGATTTATGGGAAGCAGCCCCTCCTCTTCCTCTAGGGTGCTGGAGAAAGCCACGTGTGGGTCAGGCTTGACCGAATCCGATGGCACGTGCAGGGCTGCAGTTTCCCAGCTGTTCTTCACCTGGGTCCCATTCTCTCTCAGCAGGGACTTCTGAGAGGCCACCTGAAAGCTGTAGTCTAAAACAGACACCAGAGACGCCCTGTTAGGAATCTGTCACAAGCAATTGTGGAGACCTAGAAAACTAGAGGAGAGGCCTATAGATCCTGCCTCGTGTTTCTATGCTCTTAGCAGCACAGATTGCCGGGGACTTAAAAGTTGGTCACAAAAATATATGAGAGAGAGCTAGGTCCATTCAATAGCACGAAGTCTGTTTGAGAGAGATGCACCTGAATGGCAGATAGAGGGAGGGCTACAGCATGTACTTTCTGCCCTGGGTCCACCTTATTCCCCCCAGCTCTTTCTCTACCAGGCTTCTCCAGTGAATCTACCCACCAGGGGCACAACATTGGTGCTAGCTCTGATGGCAGTGTTTTGAGGGTGTGTTGAAGGCACCAGGAACCTGGCTGAGATCCAGAGATTTATTTCATACCGGCCTTGGACAGATACCAGGCTGCAACACATATTCACCCACTACCAAACTCAGGGGAAAATGAGCAAAAATCCTGCTCTCATGAGCATCTCCACTGAAAGCCAAATGGACGTGGCTATCATGGAGGGCAAAATATGGGCTGTGAAGCCCCTCAGAGTATAGCTGTCACCTCACAAATGTTTCCTCGTTTACCAAACTTCCAGGGCACTGGGGAAAGGAGGTAACTGAAGGGAATAAAGATGAGAAACAGGGGCTATGTGACGTCCGTACATCTGCACCCCAAGACCTAGAAACCACTGCAGAGTGGCTGATCTGCAAAAGCAGGTGCGTGTGGTGTTTTGGGAAGAAACCCACAGCCTGGGAAATGTAAAAGAGAAGAGGTGCCGAACATCACAGCAGTGAAGTCAAATCAGCCCATGGCTCCTCTTCCAGCCCCCACGAGAAACTCCGAGATGTCCCAGGCAAACACAGCATCTGTAAGATCAACTCCCAATTGCTGCCAGGCATCTGACTCCAGAGCCATATTCATCCCCAGATGAATTAGTCTCTCTATCTTGCTCAGAAAGCTGCTCCTATTAGTGCTGCCATATGAATTAAGCCCTTCTCCTCACACTAAGCAACAGAAAGGGGTCTCCCACACCTAGAAATGAATATGCTGCCCCCCGACCCATGGCCTATCTCCAGGTTCTGGCTGTTATTAATGAATATAGAAGCCATCATGTGTCATCTCCAAGGCCTTGTCTCGTCGCCTGACTGCCAAAGTGGACGCTTCATCAAGCACAGCAGGAGGCAGCTGTCTGGATGCCTTATAGCCTGTGCGTCTGTGAGAGGAGCCTCCGAATGACACTCCCTGCACTCATGGCTGCTGGATCGGGTGCTTTGCTGGGGCTGGGAAGAGTGTTACCCCTGAGAGTTGCTGTCATCTGGGATACTCCATAGCAGCTACAGCTCTCAATGATGCCCCTGCAACCCGCCTATTCTTGTCCCCCCCCCCGTTTCCTCCCACAGCAAGAAGTCAGTTAACCTTTTCCCCCCTCATGTTAACAACAAAGGTGTCCTGGATAAATTCCCTAGTAGGTGGCAAGTGACTTCTTTCCGTCTCTCTCATCATTAGCTTTACATTAGAAATCAGGTACAGCTGCCTCTTTTTTCTCCCAGAGGCTTCTTTTCTATGCTCAAGGAGTGTCTGCTCCTGCAGCTTACCATAAATGTAAGCCTACGGTTTTCATAACAGCCTGTGATGTGGGCTCACTTGGGGTCTCTCCCATCTCTGCCCCACCACCCAGGGTCTTATCAAGAGCCCTACAGCTGGCCTCAGTGGACAGACTGCCTGACAGCCTGAAGGGCGCGTGGCACACCTCCATGCTGCCAGCAACTCTCTTCACCAAGATGGTGCACTGAGTCATTGAAATGGACTGATGTGCAGCTCAGCTCAAGAGCGCCAAAGCCAGGAGGAGATGAAGGCTATCTGATGAGCCCTCCTCTTTGGCAAAGCAGGGAGGGTTTGCTAGGATCCAAGATGGCTGCAAGAGCAGTGAGCAACCACACAGGCCATGAGATGCTCTTCTACACCTGCAGTCTGGCCTCAACATTTCCAAGCACTCTCCTCTGAAGCCAGTCCATCTGCAGCCATCCCTTCTTGTTTGCTGATGCACAGCAGCTGTCCCACTAGCCAGATGCTGCTTAAATGGCAGGACCTGGCAGAGATCAAAGGACTGCAAATGCAAAGGCAAGGCAGATGCCAAGTCAAGGTCACTGACAAGTGGTGCAAGTTTAATGCACTTCCCTGGACTCTCTCAGAGGCATTTGCACTTTGTGCCTTTGCTTCACTGGAAACTGCAGAAATCCTGCCTGCCCTGGTGTGCTGTGGAAGAGGAAGGTTAGCCTCTCCCTGAAAATTGAGGCATTGGCCACTGTCAGATCCTGGTCGACCAGGAGCAAGGATCTGCTGCTCAGCTGGCCTGCACAAGCCTCTATCCAGCTTCTCTGCACCCCTCCCCAGGCTTCCCCACTTGTGGCTCCCGGCCAGAGAGAGAGGTGAGGGAGGATGGGGCACAGCAGAAAAGCCGGCAGATTTCCAGGGGCAGAAAAGAAGCAAGAACCCTAAGCAGCTAAAACCCCTCTTGGCACCTCCCCCTTTCTTTGAAGGCTGGTTACTGGCATTAAAGCACTAGGGATCAATCAGTTCCCAAAGGGTTAAAGCTCCATGTAACTCTCAGCTTCACTCGTCTTTTCAGAATGGGA